AGTTTTAATTCCAATTTTGCGTTCTCCCCGGGGGAATGTAGGGTAGGGTGCACTTTTCTATATGGCCTTAGCCTGGGACCAGGCTCCGCAGTGGGGGAAAAGGCAAAAACGGCAAAAACGGGGTGAAATAGAACAGCGGTGGCGGCGGGCGGCGGAGCCTCCACCACCCTTTCTCTCCCCAGACTACCGCTCGGCTTGCTTCGCTCGCCCATTTTTTTTCCGCGCACGCCGATTTCCCCTTTTTCCCCCAATGCGGAGCCTGGTCCCAGGCTAATGTGGCCTCAGACACGGGAGCGAGCTGTTGAGGGATCGATTTTTGGCCTTTGTGTTCTTAACCGGATAAAGGAATTTATCGTAATTAATGTTCTCTAAGTCGATCTGTTGCTCTAGAAAGACCAAACTACATACAATCCCTAATTCTATAATAAGATTCATCATACACGTGTCCCAGATGCCTTTTGAGGAGTTTTACTAAATATATCGAGTTGTGATTGAAATTGAAGTCCTTCAGGAGCTTTCAGGTAATTCAGGAAACGCACGCGCGCGTGCCATGCCATGATCGGCGGCCTTTACAGCTTAGGGTGGAGCCAGCCTGGCCGAGTCGTTTTACGGAGTAGGCGTTCTTGTCAAATTTTTTCAGTTTAAAGATAACAACAGTATTTTTCTGTCCAAACCATGTGTTACGAAGCTGGTGGTCCGAACTATAATCAAACACGAAAACCAGAAATATCTCAACTGTTTTCCGTCACCAGCCAACATATAAGCAATCGATTCTCTTAAGATTATCGTATTGACAACCGTAAAGACGCTGCCCATCTGTCTTTTTGTTATAGTGCAGGGGCAAGGGTCAGTTAAATTAAGCAACTGTTGCTAACAAGATGTTTTTTTTTTGGCTTTTATAATTTGCCCTTTTTTAAAGGACTGTTAATTGAAAGATGCAAGTTGGAGTAACGAAGAATCAAGACATTACCCAAGTTAGTGAAAATTTGTTGAAATAGTTTTTGAGGTTGTCAACTTAATACTTAGAGTATAGGTTTACTGAACGGTGGAAACCCAATTGTATTTCAGGAATCCTTCATAAAGAACGATTGATTTCAACAAATAGTTAAATAATTTTTTATTGCCTTTACTCCTCTCCATAGACGCCCCCGGAAGAAAGCGTTGTTCGATTCACGATACTTAACCCATACAAAAGACTCCCATACAGATGTCACGGGGATGCTCGTCAGAAAATTGAAATGAAACCCTAGATTAAACCCCTAAAGGAGACCAATGTGGGTGTGGTACAAGCTTAAACTGACCCCTAGAAGAAATTTTTGTGTGGTCAGTGTCACAGCATTTTTTGTCAATTTCTTTTGCACAAAGCTAAGCGATACCTGTAAGGGCAAATAGAGTGGCTTTCCGTCCCCCCAAAAAATTCCCCCCTAGAACCAAAATCTGCAATTGATCCCCCTAAGCGAGACGAGGAGCATCTCCGTGACTTTTATGTTAGAGTCTCCCCCAGGGCCCGGGTTTAGCTACGAGAGTGCCGATATATATTCTTGAACCATTGAAGCCTCTCAAGAGTGACCAACTGCATTTTCCTCATAACAACACTCAACTCATATTGAAGAGAAGAAGTCATGAGAATTGATAAAACGATCACTAAGGTGAAGGTGAATGTTTTGATCTTGTAACAAATTCTTTCAACTTATTATTTAAGCAAGTGTATAAAACTCAGTTCGGAGAATTGTACGTGGACATTGGGGCTTAAAGGGAATAACTTCTGCTTGCGTGCCAAGGCATCAGGTTGTCTAAAAGTCGTCTTAGCGAGTAGTTAACGGCTTCACTCATCAAGTATTTTTCGTCCACATCCCCTCAGTGGAATCAACGCTTACCGCGACAGGATTTACTCAGTCGATAGAGTGCTTGACTGAAAAGCGCGAGGTCGCGGGTTCGATTCCAGGCCAATACTCAAGGTCTTGAAATAACTCAGAAGTGAAGGTCGGCTAGACCCTCGCGTGGCTCAGATGACAACGTAAAATGGCGATCCATCTCCAATAGGTGCCGTAAAATTATAGTGCCCCCAATTAGTGCTTTCGTGCTAAATATATCAACACTCAAAGAGGGTTGGTTTGGCTGTTGGACTTCCAGGGGATCAGTAATTTTCACAGGTGATTCTTATAACGACTTTTCGCACGCTTTCTTTTATTTTCTCTGATATCATTTGGGTTACATGAAGTTCTTATCATTTTGTACTGTCTTGGTAAATACATTTTCAAAGCATTCTTGTAAATAATTAAGACAAACAATAAATAGCGCTTACATAAAGAGACTCATCTGATCTCCAAATATTATGTGCAAAACTGTTACTGACAATCACTGATTATAATTAGGTGTCCAGATTAACCTCTGCCTAACGAAACATTAAGTCAGACTAACTAAGCATTGCAAAATGTGAAGTTTACATCAAAGGCGTTCGGTCCAAGGTTTGAACTCATTAATTTACTACCTGTAGTCTTGTAGAAGGCCCGTTTCAAACGTCGTGCTTCTGCCGTGCCGAACTCAATTGATCGAATTAAATTTGACTTTAACACGGCAGTAGCTCGACTTGGTTTCAAACGTCGTGCTATCGCCCTGCCGAACTCAATTCATAAATCATAACTGCATTAGAATATATTTAAAAGTTTGCTAAACCGTTTCTTTATTTTTGTGTTTTGTTTTCGGCAACAGCCGTTCTGTTTGACTGAATTAAATTCGACGTCTGAAACTAAGTCGTTCTAGTGTGATCTAGTGTTGTGCGAGCTACAGTCGAGCCAGCTTAGCACGCCGGGCAGTAGCAGGACGTTTGAAACAGGCCTAAGGTGGTTTTTACTTTTGAGTGAGCAGATATAATCCTGTGGTGTGACCATTCAAATGAAAGCTCTTTGATAGTACTTCACATGGTACTATTTTATTAGTTTTTTTTCAGCATTTCACTAAATGAATTTTGAAATTTGTTGAAGTTCGACTTTAACTACTTCTGGGAGAAACCGGGTTTAGCCCTAAAGCCGGGTTGTGAACTGAAGTTAAAGGAGCTGTGTCAAAAAAAAATTATCAAAATTTTAACAATAGGATCTACCACCAAATCGAGTGAAACAAAAAGAATAGCCGCATAAAACATTTAAAAAAGGTATAAACAGAGCAAATACGAAAGGAGGCACAGATGGATAAACTTGAGTTGAAGAAGATTTAAACGGATTGGAATTGTGGGTTTTTGAAATTGTTAACGTAACAGTTTTTCAAAGTTCATTTTTGTTGTTTACAAAGCTTTCTTGGGAAGCACGGACATGAAGCTGTGATTTTGTCATTTACAAGTAAATTCTTCGCTAACTTTAACTTCCATAGGGGATAAGAAAACTGGTAGTATTAAAAGAAATGAATTGGGCAGCCGTACGTGACACAGACCCTTAAAGGTGAAAACTAATTCAGTTCGTTGTAATTTGAATGAATGGATGGTGACCACAAAAGGAAAGTTTGGAGTTTTTGCTAGAGTTAAAAAAATTAGCTGAAGTATCAAAAAAAAAAAAACTGCTTTAGAGCTTCTCTATCCTCTGAGCGAATTTCCCATTTCAAATTCTTCTTCCAGGTTCCAGTTATCTGACGGAGAGAATGCTTGATGAAAAATGATATCTTTCGTGTAATGTTGCTGCCGGCTATTTGTGGCTATTTTCAGCAGCGGAAAAATTAGTCGTTTAACATGAATGAAGATAGTGATCAGTAAAAATAACTGAGCCTCTAATTTAGAAAAACCTTGATCCATATCTTTGGACAGGGACTGCTCAAGGAATCTTAAGAGAGCGAATTCCTTTCATGAATGAAGACGGTTATGATCTAAACATTTCTGATCCTTCACGTATTTTTAATTCTCTCTTGCATTGTTTGTAAAGTATCAGGGTGAAAACTTGCATTCTTAAAAAAAAAATAAAATAAAACATATTTTTGGAAAAGTGTGATTTAAACGTGCTTTCATTTGAATGTAGGACACGCCTAAAAAGTTAAGTGCGACTACGGTGATAAATTAATTGATATAGTTGTAAAAGTAAGGAATCTTATTTGGCTTTTTTCCAAGATCATGATATTATATTAGAATCGTTGAGCAGGAAATACCATTTAACAAGAGGCAGATGCTTGTACGGTGCCACGGGCAAAAACTGCTGAACAAACCTTAATTAAATTAGCCAAATTGTGTCGCGAAAAACCTTCAACAATAAATGGCTTAACCCTTTCGAGGTAATATTATTGCATAACAAAACAAGCATGGTTATTTCTGATGGTCCATATTTACAAAAGATTAAACCGAGTGGTTATGGAAATATATGGTTACTTACTAAAAATGAATGGTTTTGATAAAACAATGGAGTGGAATACAAACTAACCTAGATGCAATAAAAGCAAAGCTAAGTAGAATATAATGGCTGTAATGGGCAGCAAGTTTATCTTCAGTGATCGTGTATGGGTCAACCCATTCCTAAGCAGTATCAATATGGTAATGGCGTTTAATCTACAATATTCCTTTTCTGTTAATCCTTCATTTTCAGAAGGCCCTCCTCATAAACTCTTTAAATTTCTTTGAAGAGTTCACTTACAAAATAAACAATAACAACAAATGCAAGACTAAAAATTTTGAAACTTCGCAATGGCCATGGTTTTCTTACCACGGTTCAATATAATTGATATTTATCTTTACAAAGGCATCGCCATGTTTCATTCCCTTCAGCCAACGCCCTCCTTAACTCTTCCTCTCATTAAGGTTTCCTTGAGAAAAAAAGTTTATTCACATGTACCAAGTTTGATTTTATAGAAGGTAGGATCTACAATTAAATACCCATTTTGGGATTATTGGGCAAAGGAAAACGAAACACTTATGTGGAGAAACCATGAAAACGATGTATGGTTCTGCTCGGGTTCTATAGCAGATCAAAATGAAAGAAATTACTAAATAGGTATCAGACATTTAGTTCTACAATAATTGTAACTCTTCAACAAACAGCTAAGTCCATATGATCCACGACACCTATCTTTCTTGGGGGCACTCCGCCTCGAACTCTTTTCCACTTCATACGCCTGTTCTGAAACCACACCTTAACTTGCCTCTCGGTTAAATCTAAGCTTACCGCCACTTCGTATCGCCTTAGTCTTGTCAAGTAGTTGTTTCTTTCAAACTCTCTTTCAAGCTCATGAAGTTGGTACTTGGTGAAAACCGTCCTCTCTTTTCGTGCTTTGTTTTTGCTTGCTTCTGTCTTTTCGTCTGAGGAAATTTTAAAATTCAGGAATTACTTATGAAAGAAATTGTAAACCAAGATTTCAAAAGTTAGTATGAATTCCCTAAAATGCCCTTTTTTCCAACTTAGTGATACATCATGTTAATCTTAGAGTATTGCCAGAAACTTTCTTCAGGAGATAAAAGCAAAAAAATATAATAAAACTATGCCAGAAACGAAGTAAGTTGTTTTCTAAGAATACAGCTTTCTTAAAATGGGAGTTTCACCAGTGTGGAAATTGGGATGTTTTGTGAGAAATCAAACTTTGACCCAAACCCCCTATAAACTTTTTATGTATTTAATGGAATCCCAATGGCACTTCAAACCACCCTAGGAAAAGCAAACTGGTTCGAATTATCGAAGGGTTTGAAAAATGAGCGCAAAATTACAGTGTTTGACTGGTGAGGGTAAGTTAGGTTTGGTTCGAATAATCGGAAACTTCGAAAAACCAAGGGTTTGGAAAACTGGTATCCTACTGTATACGCCTATTCGTCGGAAGAAAAAGGTTCATGAACTGTGATCCACTGTTATCCTTGTAATATCGCACACTTTTTAAGCAAGAATGGCTTACGTGCGTTTGTGTTCTCAAACCCTTTTATCCACTGCACCTATTAAACTTTTCCTTTCTAAAACAAGGCAAAGTGAAAATATAGGAAAATTCCTAATCTCAGTGAAAAAATCTTGTAGAAAAAATTAATATATAAAAGTGCTGAGCTCAAGAGGCGTCATACGAATGGTAATATGGAGGGATTTCGTCCACAGTCTCAAAGCTTAGAAGTACTACACCTCCTAGGAGCGGTCATCCTTTGCAATATGACAAGGGATTTCTTAGGCGAAACATATTGGTCAGCGAAATGTTTGTCTTGCAAATTTTGTACCGACGCCCTCTCAACTCCTTTAAGGGTATCCCAAATTTTTTAGCAAAATGTTTATCAATAACAAGCAGATCTATCATGATTGCAGATTCTTTTGGACTGAGATCAAGAGGGACTCATTGTTGTCAATCATCCTGTCTGCTTTTATAACATTCTAACTTAAGGGAAAACAACATCAGCGAATTCGAGTTAAATTTTGGTGAAGGGAAAGGAAAATTAGTCGGAGTTAGCGAGGAATTCGAGTTATACGAGTTCGAGTTAACCGAGTAAAAATGACTGAAACAGATTGAAAAGGGGGGTGCAACTTGGCAAGGGAAATGAAATGGGACTTAGGTCGAGTTAGCTGGGAGTTCGACTGATCGGGTTTCTGCTTTATTACAGAGACCAGAGTGGGATCCGAACAAAAGCAAAGGCAAACTCTTATGAGCATAGCCTAAACCTGAACTCAAACGACTAAAAAAATCTGAACTTAGAAGGCACATGATTGAGCTTAGTGGATTGAGCCATATTCTCGTGATAAAAGCGTGAAGAAAAGGCAAGAAATGACATGCTCAAAAGCAATCGAGATGGTTATTTAAGTGTGTAATATTTTTGAAAGTTTTAGTATGTCTCAAGTATTTCAAAGTCAGTGCTGAATTTTAAAATTGGGCGTTTATACCCTTATAGTTCGAGTCACAGATTATAGCTCCTACTTCTCATAGACATGAACAAGTATTGTAGCAACTAGATGTGTCGAACCCCTCGATCATTCATGGCGATACCCATAGCATTCTTCGAAAAGTCGGGTCCATTCATATCCCTTACGTGAGAAGTGAAAGTTCAGCGAAAGAAATTCGACTAGGCATATTGACGCTTAATATGACTTGTCAATTGTGTAGAAAACTGTCTTTTAAAAGGCTAGTACCGTAATGAAGTCATATTAAGTGAATATAATTTTACCAACTTAAGTTTCACGGACACTGTTAAACACAGCAATTTGCAACTTCTATGTTTGCCCCAGATTATATGATTTGGTCGTTCTGATTTTGGTCACTTTTTTCGGTTGGAATTTGAGAGTGCTGTAAGCTCTGACACACACACACATTTCTAACGACGGTATATTTATCTATCATACTGAAGTGAGTGGCAATTAAATTTGAATTAACTAGTTTAAAACAAATTGAACTAAGACAGTATACTGAATTCAGAGTAAAGATCCTTTTCGTCTTTCCCAGAGAAAGGCGACATAACAAAGAATTAAAGAAGCTGTGAGAAAGAAGATAAAGAAAGGGATTTCAATAAATTTAACTGCAACTAAATTCACTAAATCAGTGTTTCAGTAGGAATTTACAGGCGAGAAGCAAAGTCAGTTTCATAGTTGTTTATCCATCCAAAAATAACGCGTTGACAATAACATTTGGAAATCTTGAGAGACGCGCGTACAAAACATTTCATGGACATTACATACTGTTCTCTTGTTTGATAGAAAAATAGAAAGCTAATACCTGGGCAGTCTGTTTCAAAACTAAGTGCACAATGAACAGTTCACAAGGTCGAGTATAAAACAACATTTAAAAAAGATATAGGAAACTATTATCCTAATTCAGTTTGCGTATTCAATCTAAAAACTATAAACACAATCATTGTCACTTTACCTTCATCGCTGAGCTCCTCAAGAAGTTTATCCACGTTGCATGTCTTTCTTAACGGCCCATCGCTACAGCCGCTAATGGAGTTCATAATAGGCGGTGGAGTGGGAGGAAAATGACGAAGAGTTGTCGTTAAAATCTCTCCCTTTGAGGGCGTGCTATCGGCAACCATTTTCATGCTCTGTGCATGGGTATGACTGGCGACTGGATTTGGGATCGGGACACGCTCGTACTGCGCTTGATAGCTTGGCCCAGTGTGGTATCCATAGTTTGAGAAGCGGTAGTTACACGGTGCGTTCATATCAGGACCGCCGTAAACGTACGCGTTGGGGTAAGATGGCGGCTGATACGCGGCGAAGTTCGTGGAATAGAAATCGTACATATTTGTATTGGCTCCTACTAACAATTTGATTTACGTTGCATTTGTCGGCGGCATCCCTCTTAAATAAGCCACCCTCAGTGGGTGTCCATCAACACCGTAAAAGATACACTTCACCATTTTGTGTCGCCGTCTTTGAAGTTTGAACTCTACTCTAAGATGTCTATCAAAATGCGGCATTTTACCGTCGGAAAATCACAACACGTCATGGTTTCGGCGCTAACGTTTAGCAGATTGGGGGAGTGATCTGTCCTGAAAGCTCGGAAATTGATTCACGACCGCCGCCATTTTCCCCATCGCATTCTTTTAGGACCTTTTGGGAGCTCCTCTTGAGTTCGAGGGCACCCGTGAACAAGTCCCTATTTTCGTTCGGGATAATTGTTTCGAAACGAGTTCTAATGTTTTATTTGTCGCTTTTCTGCAAATATTGAGGGTTGTTTATGTAAAAGGCAATCCATTAGCGATGTTTATTTACCCTTGCTGTTTTTCTGTGGGGTTCACCCCTCTCTGCCGCACTGAACTCTACACAGCTAATTAAGCTGGAATTTTAATTTGTGTCTTTCCTCTCAAAAGTCTTACAACGAAATACTACATTTTCAAACAAATCGAGGTCTTAAACCGCCTTGCAACACTGTGACCTGTGATAAACACAGAACAGTGGCGCGAGGAGGAATTCTCTCCACAGTTGCAAATTCTCAAAGCACCACAAAGAAACCGCCGATGAAACGCGCAATTTCCTCGTCATCTGGAATTATTTATTCACGGTTGCAGAAAAAGGAAAAGAGAAACTTAGGCGTCACGTACTCACCTAGCACTTTTGACAGATACGTTCAAAACAATGGAGCAAACTTATACCGAGTCAATATCCTAGACATTGGCAAATTGAATAGTCTGGCTAATGCGCTAGAGAAACAAATTTAGTTTATTTTCAAGAGGTCATTTTAAGACCGGATGTTGTTTGAAATAAGACTCTTGAAACCACTTGATACTACTGCTAATTGCATTATAAAAACCTTGAGGACAATTCCGAATTGCGCCAAAACCTGGGCAATTTTTGTCCATATCTCTAGCTTTGATGTAATTGTATTCACGTCACTGTATCGTAATTGAGAAGTTAATTCTTGTTCATCTACTTTAAAATTGCGAGTTAAACTTTCGCTGAAAGAGACTTTTTGGAACTCACACAGCGTGAATATTTCCGGTCTTGCAACGTTTTCTGTTCACAGATTTTTGTCGATAACGTTTCCTGGGTTTCATCGGCTTCTTTTATTTCTATAAATATAAACTGACAGCAAATCTAGCATTGATAATAGTGACAGGGAGACAAGGGGTTAATTCGGCTCGGATTACCAGCGATCGTGGAATATGTCTTCAACCGCGAATCGTGCGAGATCTTGTGTTGACTAATTCCCGTTTATTGCCTGCTTGTTTTCGAGTGTCATACTGACACATACTATCCAGACGCCATCAATTGGCGAAAGTCATTGGAGGTATGCCACTAAATGCTATAGTCGAATTACGACTCGTGATTACTCTAAAAATGTTTCTAAAGGTATTTTAATAGCGACATTTCTTACTCTTTACGTTGTCAGGTCCCCAGTTGCAATTATAGTAACTGTTATATAAATTTCTGATCGAGTGGGCAAACTCAGCGTTTCATGAGGCAGTTCTCATGGTTCTTTGGAACAGTTAACCTTTTCCTTATTGGATTTTGATGAAAATTACATGACTATCAAAAAAAAAATAATGCAAAACGTTTAGATACTTTGACAATGTAGCGAAGGAAAAAAGTTTGTTTTAAGGGATATGATGAGGAGAATATCGTGCACTTATTTCCAAAATATGATATTTGGCGACAATCAAACAGTAATTAAGTGCTTCCCAAGTTTTTGACTCACTTAGTTAACTATAATAATAGAGTTACTGATCTTAATTTTCAGGAAATAAAAACACGACTTACTGCCAAGTCTGCCAAGAAGTATTTTTAAAAACTTTATTTTAAATTCGATAGTTCAAATGCCTCTACATTACGGTACAGCTGAGAAAGTGATTTCGTGCATTTCAAAATTAATATTTTCGAAAAAAAATATGTCAGATATATTTTAGGTCATAAATTAATTCCTTGGTCTTAGCCTTGTATCGAATATAGTTTTTATGCATAATTATATTTCAATGTAATGTATTTTGATCTACCCTACAAGTTAATGAAATTATACGATTAAACTACGGCCCAGTAAATACTTTATACGATGAAATTAGAAAAAAAGCAAGCAAAACAAACAACAAACAAAACAAAGACAGAAATACTTGCTCCCTATGACAACGAGAATTTCTTGCTAAATTACTTGTAGTGGGGTCATTAGTGTTAGCATGGCATAAAAAAATAGAACTTGGAAAAAGTGAAACGGGCAGGGGAATTTGCGCAGTGCATCCCCAGAAGTACATCACATACCCGAAAATTCGGTTTAGGAACTGACCTTCGTCAACGGATAAAAACTCCCGGCCAGATATCTCAGCTTCACTGCAGCCTGTGGCTTAAGCAGTCTTTGTTAAATCTGGCATTCATTTCTTACCTCAGTTTCCTTAGAAGGAAGCTGTTTGGTTTTCTTGTAAGCTGCAAGCTAAAACGAAGATCTCTAACAATTTGCGCCTGCGGTCATGGGATGTGGTTGTCTGGAGAAAACTCAATGACTTATTCCAAGAAAGGTTGTTGTGTCCTTTTTTTTTCCCACAAAGAAATTTGTATTCAAGGACCCACAGTCACATAGGAAAGAAGGTATATTGTCCCGTGCCTGGGGCCGGGAAAATTAAGTTGGCAAAAACCTTTGAAAAAGGTGACAAATAGTTTTGAAGGTAAAACAAGTCTTTAAATTTCCGTAAATTCTGACTCAACAATTCGTGTGCATTTCGCGCCTCTCATCCATTATCATATCTGATGAAGACCCGAAACCGAGCTCATTGAAAGAAAGATTTATTAGACAAAGACTAACCTGTGAGATTTCTAACATCTGAGTCCTTAACTTGTTGAATTTATAACAAAAAAATAACGGGCACAGTTTCTGTGTAAGACTGTAAGTAAACTGCAAACTAAGCACTTAAGGAAGTGAATTAAAAGTAATCAAACAAAAGTATAGCAATAGTCGCAGCTGTTATATTTATTTGAATTATCCAAATGTTACTGAGTCTAGCGTCATTCTGGTCTATCTTGAAGGACTTCGGCAGGATTAACTCAGTCGGTAGAGCGTTGGACTGAGGAGCGGGAGGTGGCAAGTTGGCAAATTCCTGGGGCCACACCAATACTCAGGGTCTTAAAATAAATGAGAAATGAAGGTACTGTCTTTACCCTGCAAATGGCTCGGAGACCGTCCTCGCTTGGCTCAGATGACCACGTAAAATGGCGGTCCCATCGGCCAGTAGGAGAGGTAAAAATATAGTGTCCCTACTGATCAATCATTTTATGCTAAATACATACTAGGCATTTAAATAAAGTGCTCTTTTTTCTTGTGAGTCTATTTTGCCTTGCATAACTACCCCTTGATGTTCAATGATTGACCAGTTTTTATCAGCCTTATCTGCAGTCATTCGGTCAACAAATTTTGTCACTCTGTTTTCTTTATACTGGCGGACCTGATATCAGCAACTGGCTAAACCTAGAAGTTAGAGTTAACCGTGAGTGGCGATTATGAAAGTAAGTTTTCAGCATAAGGGTTTCTCCCTCGGTTAGTTCTGATTACAACAATAATATAATGAGCAATTAAAATGTGATTTAACCGTGTAAGTTTCTGAACATTAAACATCAATCGAGAAACAAAATATACCTGAAGGAGCCAAATGGGCTCCAGATACCTGTGTTTTATATGTTTAATTTTTTTTTCTTTTCGGCTATCAACTCTTTATAGTGGGCAGGTAATAAAGTAAACATAAAAAGCTCATAATGTAAAATTTACTTACGTTCGCCAGGAGCCTATGACCCATGGTCATGGGTTCCTGCGTTAATTGTTCGCCAATTCTTGGCAGGATCACTGCAACAGCGAGTGGCGCCAATTAGCTTGGGCCAGTAACAGTCCCTCCCCCCCATGAATGATAGACCACCACGTAAGAGTACGTCCCCCGCACTTTGCTTTTCGGTTTAATTCAGTACATTAGTTCGAAGCGTCTTAAGTTCGACGTCTTACCCAGCAAACGATCTTAACTTAATTTAGGTCAACCCAAACCGTTAAGAATTTGGTTCGGCATGAAAAGTTCGGCCTGGCCTAGGCCTCACTGCAACTAATGGTAACAGCAAAAATAACTTGGTAATGATATAACAATAACAATTATAGTAATAATAACAATAACTACTACTTAAACGATTAAAGCAATGTTTATTACTTAATATCGTTATGCAGATTACCAAGTTAATACGATCAAAAAAAAAAAACAGAATGAAAACATCTTAATTATCCCTGGATTAACTTTGCAAAACACCAAGTTATCTGTAGAACTTACTGTTTAGCCTGACTGATTTAAAGTAGTGTCTAGCCATGACCGAAAAGCCATTAAACAGTGATTATAGAGAAATGAGTAAGCAAACTGTTAGTAATGGCCCGGTAGTCGGAATTTTTTGACAACTTTGCCAGTAATCTGTCATTTTTTGAACAGCACTTTAAAAGTACCAAAAATAAGCTAGCGTTCAATGCAAGCTATGAGAAGAATGTCGACCATGGTACAGTATATTTTTAGTCTAAAGATACCAAATAAGTCCATCTAGGTTAAGTCCAATCACAATTAACACGGAAATGGTTGAAATATTCCAATTTATGTTTTTTGGCCTTTTATCAATACGTGACTTGCGAATAAAGAGCGCTCATGTTTTCTCAAATAATATTTATAAAATATTTTTTCCTTTTAAGTGGGCCGAATATCACAATGAAAGCAAAACCCATACTTACAAAAGGCCTGTTGGCTTTTAAGCTTAAAAGCCAGAAACGCTTTGTGCAGCATGGTCAGTACGGAACCCTTGCAGCCCCAGCCGATAACCCTTACCCTCACGTACCGTTCTTCATCTGAAGGACGCAGTCAAGACCTCACAAGGTTCCCAATAGCGATAAGGCTACTATTTTTATTCATTTTTAACCCTGACAAGTACTCGGTCAGTCTATTGCCATATAGTTGTCAAAATGTTTATCCGCAAAATCAGAATTTTAAACCGCTTATACAACAAAACCCGATAAGAACAAGGGGGGATACTGGCACGAAACAAGAAATCGATCGGAAGTAGGTTCCAGCCAAAACATCATCAGGCACGTATCAATAGGAATCGAGCACGGTGTTCCTGTTAAGTACTATTTTTGCTCTTTTTTCCCCCGGAAAAGGACACGGAAAGATTGCCGATGTAAGTTTTAACACTGATAAAGGAACGATAATAAAACGGCAGATAGACCGCTTTTAGGCCGAAATTTGTCGTAATGGTGTTTCATAATTTTTCATAAGATTCCTCTACTTTTTTCAATCACGTCTCTCGTTGCCATCCTACCCCAGCCGCTTTCTCTCTCCTCCACACCCTCACCTCCACTCGATTCATGTTGAAAACGCACACTATAAAGCAATTATTCTGGAAACCCCGTTAATATTAAAGAAAGCCAAAATGTTTTTCACTTCAAGACTTCAAAGGGTGCATAAGGCAATATCACACAGTGTGATTAAGTAGGTTGAGTTTGATATCATACTTGTGTGTTATATACTAGGAGTTTTATTAGCTTAACACTTGCGGTTACTTAATTAATTCTGTTTTTCTGACCACGGCTTGTTGTTCAAACTTTCATAGCACTATCCACTGGATAAAGCACTACCCAGCAGACAAGAAGTAGGAAAACCAATTGGGTTATCCAACAGACTGAGATTTAGAACAACTAGCGTCTCAAGGTTGTTTTAATTGCTGTAGTTGTTGTTGTTTTTTTTTTTGTCGCTAGTCAACTATGTTCAGTCTGATCACGAATTAGAGCAGTGAAATGTTTGCTAAGTCATTCAAGAACTGAATCGTGCTGCTTTGTTGTAGTAAACTGAAAAAAAAACTGTGTTGACATTGAAATCAAAATCTTGAGCCTCTCAAAATTTCGAGTAGGTAACGAATTGATAGACTTATCCCTGAACACCATAATCGGTCTACCTGCGCTATGGACTACCTCCACTGAATATCATTTGACTTTCTAGCGCAATAAACATGTATGCAGACAACTAAACGGAACCACTTTAGCCCCTATTCAATGGGCTTCCTTGACTCACCTCCCTAGGCCACGCCCAAAATAACATTGCCAGAAATTCCGAACGGACATGCGCAATGGGAACTGTAATTCTTTGTCATCAGAATTTTCTCGTCCTTCATTACTCCATGTATAGGTTGCGTTTGTTGATGGATTTCTTCTCTGCACTGACAGGGTTTTCTCCGAGTACTCCGGTTTTCAGTCCTCTCCTCACTAAACATCAAGAAAACATTTCCATAGAGTAAAGTGTCTCCAATTATTTGAGGAAACTAAAAGGGACACTAGCAACAATTCTTGGAACGGCGGTCCAGTTTCACCCTCTGTAATAGCGTTACTGATATCTGGATCCTCAGTTGGTGGAAAAAGAGGTTTTTGGAAGCAAAAGTATCTAAAGTTACCTTCAAATTCTCTGAGAAAAAAAGTCCGCCTTAATGAGAAAAACTAAGCGTGAATTTAGTAGGGCCTTTCCATTAAGGCTCCATTAATAAAAACCATTTAATCCTTTACGCAAGAAAATAGCTTTTTATCTTCTAAATTATTTTTCGAGTTATGAACCATTTTTTGCTCTCCAATTCCACTAATTTTCCCTTTTTAGTTATGTGGCATAGTTGGAATGCAAACTGATATGCCAGGGTGTAAAGCCCTCTAAAACTTAGTAACGAGGATGATTTGGTGGTCTCTGTGATAAGGAGCCAAACATGTGTTGTTGCTTCCTTGCGTTTTTAAACAAAGGTAAAACAAACAACAGCAGCAACAAGTTTTAGTTTTTCAGATTTTCGTTTCAATAAACAGGGGTTTGATCCAATACGAAGTATCCGTTTAATATGCATCGTCAGGAACCCATAACCCGGAGCGAGCAACTTCCATCCGCTCGTGTCACGGCTTTTTCACGGACCAGTTTATTTTTAGAACGGTTTTGGCGCGAATTTTGAAAATCTTTTGAATTCCACAAACTAGTCAGTAAAACCTACAGACCTGAAAATGATTTTTTTTTGCCTCTTAATAAGTAAACGTTTAGTTTTCCATTTTGATATCTTATACTTCGAATGCGCTCATAGACATGGTGGAGGTTTTAGTTTCGTGGGAAAAAGTGCCCTTAAATGTGTCTAAAAATGAATTGGTCCGTGAAAACGCCGTGACATAGGCTTAGTGTGGAAGTTGCTCGCTCCGGTTAATGGGCTCCTGGCATCGTAAATTCGATGGCGTTCGAAATAATATGCGCTTTCTAAAACTGATTTTCACTGATCTTCTACAATAATCAGATTTACTTACTCCTTTCCTCTACCCGCAATAAGATTGTCGAAAAAAAAAAAGCAGCGCAAATATTACGATTTAATTCTTTCTATTGAAAAATAAACTGTGATTTTACGAGGAAAAATAAACTTCAGAGCGCGTAGAAGTATGCGCTTATTTGGAAACTTACCTGATTTCTTGATGATTGCGGATATTCATTCTTTTTGTATGGCGTCTGCTATAACATGCTCTAGAATCTGTCACTTATCCGGGAATATAGGCATTAATCTCGGGGCTTCTTTCATCGTAGTCTAATCACGAAGAAGGCAGCCGAAATATGTGAAATATTTTCCTCTGAACTAAAGCGGGCTGAGCTGCGCCATTTGGTTCTATTTTTGGGTGGTCTTTTTAATACCAAAACCGGGTTTGAATTCTTCTAAAAGATTGCCATAACAAAAAAAAAACAATTTTGCCATACTCTGGCTTTCTTTAAATATGAAATGTCCGTTATAACTGGCTACAACGATATATAAAAAGGGCAGCTAACTGATTTCCTCAGTAAAGGATGCGGTTGCCTAGGAATTTCAATATCTCGTCAGCACCTGCTTTGACATGATTACCTCATATGGATATTTATACCTGTCATTTTAATCAGGTGCCAAAAAGATTTTCGGAAAGGGAACGGTAAATCCTCATTAGATAAAATAAAAAACTGAGTCTTAAAAAATTGACACTGTCTGTGTTTATTAAGAGAGTGTTTCGTTGTTTGGGCTCTTTTGTGTATATAAGACTCACCTTTCTTTAGAGTCGAAAATTACCCCCCAAAATTTATCAGGTAGAAAGCGATTGCCCAGTTGACATAGAGTACGAACACAAAATTTAAATATTAGGGCAAATGGACTGGTTGCCGACATACATTTGGAGACGGCCGAGAACCGAAAGGAGGGGAGGTAAAAAGTGAAATGTGAAGAGATTCCTTCTGCTTTCACTTTGTTTAAATAGTGGCTACGGCCGGAAATTCTCGCAGACGCAAAAAGGGCGAAAAAGAATCATACAGAAAATCAGTGAGTAAACGCTGTAAAGGGCTTTTAAAGATGAATTGACCCCACTTGCGTCTCTGTGAGGTAACCTTCAGAGAAAACAAAATAGTGCTCACCATCCGCGCTTGCGACGTAGTTAACAGGATTAACAGAGCCTAATGATAAGCGGCTGCGTCCACAATCGTCCCAAACTCGACATGTGAGCGCATATTAAAGATTAATTCATCTGCTAATATTGAGTAACGTAGCTTTTTATAAGGTTTATACGGGGAAAGAAAAAAACCGGATAGGAAAAAATATCGTCTTGCCTTAGCTTATCTTGTAACAAAAAATTAAAATAAACTTACTTTTGCTGTACTTTGTGTTCCTGTGTCGGTTTGAAGCGTTTTGAGCTAGTTTTGCTATATCCTGTCTTAACTTTCACAAGTTTATTTTACTTCTTTGCTACACGATAAGCGTAGATAATACGATATTTTTTATTTTTTTGAATTTTTTTTTCCATATTAATCCTACAAAACGCTACGTATTAGCAGATGTAAAAGAATATAATTTGTAACACGCGCTCCGGCATTTTTGAGTTTTGGACGCCGGTGTTGCGTCTTCTTTTTTAGTATACATGAATTATCTTAATTATGCATTCTGTTCTTGTGGGCTGCATCATTGATTGTATGCATGTGTTGAAATAGTTCTGATATTGCTTTCAGTGTGCCTTATATGTATATACTAAATGGTTGCAGTTGCTCTAATAAGACAGCTAGCAGCTCAGATCACGTAATCAGTATTTTCTGAATAAGAACAATTTTATTCAGATGCTTAAAAGTACAACTGAGAGGAAATATCGCAAATGTTTTGTTGTTAACATTGTATGCTCGTTTTGTTGCTGACAATTACATGTCTCTTCTATGACAAATAGTATGCGTATCACACGGAACGATCACGAAATCCATTTTAAGAGGTTTGGTAATGATTTCTCCACGACATTTCATTTTTTTACGACACAGATGAACGTTTGCTCTGAAAATGTTTCAAGAAGATCAGAAACTACGAAAGGCTGAAGAACTTTAACTGACCAACACCATCTTATTTTCCCATCTACTAAGACTGGCCCCACCCAAAATATTGTTACGGAGCTGAAAAATCGGCTGCTTGATAAAAACGTTGAACGAAACAGTGAACGCATGTCAGAGTATATTTACAAGTTATATTGATAGAATTTTTTATTATAGCCAACAACAATAAACAAACGGAAAATAACTTTTTTCAAGATGTTATCCACATAAATATTTCCAACGCTAAAACCTCTTGCCAGTATTACGGCAACGGCTACAATCAGTGCATATCGGTTAATGACGCCTAGCGCCGTATTGGGCAGGAGTGTAACATACCCGGTTTAGTGTACTAAGACAAATCTGATCTTCTACAAGCCTTAAACTCCGAAGCTACAGTTTATGCAGAGGTTATAGGCTACATATGAATTTCCTTCGCTTTATCCTCATCGGAACTTGAGCTCAGTCGATTTGTCGAGGGTTTCTTTTCCAATCTTTTTCCTTTCACGCGTTTCCATTTCATTCGGCGGTTTTGAAACCAAACTTTGACCTGTCTTTCTGTCAAGTCTAAACTCACGGCGATCTCGTATCTTCTGAGCCTGGTTAAGTAATTATTTCTCTGAAATTCGTTTTCCAATTCTTGAATTTGATGCTTGGTAAAGGCTGTTCTTTCTTTTCTTTTCTTTCCGCCGGATTTTCCGGTTTTCGCAGCTGCAAAAGCAACAAAATTAATTAAAAGTGTGTAAAAAACCACAGTTTATTTCCCAGCAAATGAGACGTTAAATTATTTCATTTCCCAAGATGTATTTACTTTTAGGTAAAATTGTGGCAGTAAAAAAACCTTTCCAATTAAAGAACAAAACCTCGGTTTTTTCAAAAAAAATTACCAACATATGCTCAAATGATACGCAGATAATATATATTTCGGTGAGGCTTTTTACTCCATTTGAGGAATTCGAAAAGTCGAGTTCCGCCGGTTTACCAGCGAATTATACGACTGAAAATTGCTTTCTATTACAAGTTGCGGGTAACCGTCTGACTGTTAAAAAAGCGCAGATTGCGACGACAGAGCCCCAATGATTAATTTTATCACATAAAGTTACTTACTACTTATTTAGGCCAACCCACCGATCGAGCCAGTTCTCAGGTCTTAATTATGAGGCTCTATTAAAATAAATCGCTGGTCGCTCACGCATTTCGAACGAAAATTGAGAATTTACACATTTTTATTCAATTCACAACAAGTCTAACGCACTAATTTATTATGATAATTCTCTGTAATTTTTATTCCGGCCCTGGTGAAAAAGCAAAAACTTCCTGAGGTTGGACCGTCGAGACGAAGGATCTAGTGGCCGACTGGGTCACTGTGCTCTGCTTTGAGAACTGGATAAAGAAAAACCAAAATGTGAATATCTAAGTTTGACTTTTGTCCCGAAAAATGAAACACTCTTAGAACAAACAAATAAAAACAAGCTTCAAGGGTTAGGAATATGGCTAATCCAAATTTCCAGACAAAGAGTCCTTATCATGAATTTTCAACCATAAACAAAGAGATCAAACGCTTGACAGGGACGTTTTGAATTTTGCCCAGGTTATCTCACGAAACCACTTAGTTACGGCTTTTTTTTGCCAGTGAAAAAACGTATTAAAATTGAAAATGGCTTAAAACTGCTTTTTTCAAGGAGGTTAAAAACTGACCAATTTAACCGATTGTTTCCGGCAACCAGTTTTCATTTTGAAAATTCACTGACGGCCTAGTCAGTATCCCGTACGTGTATCTGGTGCAAAGGACCGCGGTCGCCCTCCTTCGTTCACAGTTTCTAATGCTCTACAAACTGCATTTAGCCTTTCAGTGACTGAAAAATCTATTACTTAGATACACCTTAAATCCTGTTAACAAAATATTACAGATAGGAAATCCCTAAAGAAGCCGAAAGAGGGATTACATTTAAGAGTAAAATCCTTTGGTTGACCGCATATTTATCATGATGTGACTGTGCGCAACATGTCTTTTGAGAAACGCTTCCTTTTTAACAACAAATGTTTGCAAAAATAATTAGGCATCAGTAAGTAGAACCGAATACCTAAACATGTTCTCCAAATGTTTTCCAAATTCAGTGATGGCTCTCACCAGCTTGATTGTGTAGCCGGCGACACTCACATTTTTGAAGTCCATTTATAGTATGAAAAGATATTTCCCCCAAGAGATTATTTTCCTGCTTTTCTGCAAAATGGTCCCGACTTGACGAATGAAATTCGAAAGTAGGTGGTTATCATGCTGTAGAAAGTGGGGCTAACTTTTGAGTCTTGCATTAAATCTTAAAGTGTGACCATTCAAATGAAAGCTACTGAGCAGTACTATCCTTTGGTACATTTTATTATGCTGCACAACGTGGTTTTAACTTTTGAGTCCGTGGATGAAATCCGAAAGTGCAACCACTCAAGTGAAAGCTACTGAGCATTACTTTCCTGTAATACTGTATATTTTACTCGCAAAGCGGACCTAGCCGACCTTGGGTGAAATCTTGATCATTCAAATGAAAGCTCCGTTTTAATAAGTTCTTTCCTGTTGTGCTGTTTTCATACTAAGCTCTACCGTATTTTCCTATGGTTTCTTAAGATGTGTAAGGTAGTGTATAAGTCGTGAATAAAATGTGTGTACAAGCTAGCCGAGCCTCCTGAGTAGTACTTTTATCCGGTGCGGTTTTGAGAGGAGTTCTGGCCTTTGAGTGTGGCCGAAATTCTGACTCTTTCAGTTTTGACGGCGGAGCGTAAAGCATCCATAATTCATCGTGCAGACATGAAAGAATAAAATGAAGCTTCATAAGTTTTCTGTGCTGACGATTCAGTCTAAAGAAGCAAAATCTTTAAAAAACTGAATAAATGAGCTTTAGTACCTTTAACACATGCAGACATCATTCCCCTTCATATATAACGGTGTTTCGGAATTAGACTTGTTTTTTGACCCGTGGTGACAATGCTTTCGATTCCCTGTTCAGCAAAAGTATAATGGTTAAGAGATTCTTTGCATAAAGAAGTTTCGAGAAGACCCTCCTGTAAAAATGTGCTCTTCAATTCTTCTCAAACAGGTACTGAATATGGACGCTCGCTATAGGTCTATTTAGTTTGGTCATTTTCATCCCCTAAAAGTACTTCAGAACATGTTGTTGGTGTTTGAAAAACGCAGTTATACTAGACACTCAGTGGCACTAGCCTGCCAGGCCAGGCTTTATTGCATACAGGATTGTAATTGTCAGCCCTTCAAAGCAAGTTAAACTGCCAAAACTCGGAATTTTGCCAAACAATTCTCATTGTTTTGAAACCTTTCGGAGCCGCTTTCTCTTGTAGACCCTTGTAGTAGGTTATTCCAACGGTTATACATGCTAGAAACTTCCTGTTCTGTATTTGGTAAATCACATGTAGAACGTATGAATCAAAAACATGAATAAAACGATAGGAAACAGTGAAAATCGTTACACTCTCCATGGATGTCGTACCTTTGGTTCCTATTAATATAAACCCGCCTAAATTCAGTCAGAGTAAATTGAAAACAACCAAAGTAGAACGTGTATTTTTCAATTGGTACTAGAGAAAAAGATATGAAATTACAGTTAAATGAGCTCTTTAAGAAGTTTGCATTATTCGAAATGCTTCATCAGCAACCTAACAATGCTTTACTTTTATGCCAGTTTAATAAACTTAAGTGAAACCTCCTAATGCCATCACACATTCGCTATCACTATGCGCCGTAAGCCGGATTCCCTGTAGTTTTGCTTAACAGTTGGCCGTTGCTAGCAATAGCAGAATACAGTTGAGGCTCACTCCCGTTTGCGGGAAATATTCCCCAATTTAGAGTTGCGACAACTGAGTCTTAAATCTTGCACACAAATGTCTTGCACTTGGTGTTCCTCGCACGTCTCATGGCTCAGAGAACCGACGTTTTGTCAAGGTTTGTCTCAACTGAAGGTTCCTACTTTTTCCCTTATTTCATAAATTGAATCTACTACTGTTTGTTCCCGGTTTTTCCACTAGATGAGTGTCCTATGATTTCTTCTTATGGCTCCAGTTTTCCCATAGTATCTATAATCCACTGTGGAAAGCCCTAATTCAAGAAGGCGGGGTGCACAGACTACGCTGAGCGCATCTGAAGTGACTTGATCGAAGAAGAGATGTCGCAAACTGGATCAAGTCAGTCAGTCTTTTAGCCGTCTATTTCCAGGGCGTCGGGGATTTATCAAGGCAAGAGGGAAATTTTAATGTGGAAACCAAGCGCAAAGACTTGAAAACCATATGATTAGGTCCGCACTCTTTGTGGTTTTGCCTAGTATGCCCTTTGGAGATACTGATATACAAGCTTTACCAACAAGACTAGAGATTCAAAATCTGGTCCTAGATCGAAATAAATAATGAATAATTTTGCCGTCTTTATTCTTACGTTTAACTAGCCTTGGCTTTTGAGGTTGTTTGTTCAACTCCTTGGAAGATGCGACGAATCGATCCTTAACTGAGGGCGATCCGGAAAACATGGTACCACAAAATTATTTCCGTGTCTGAGTTGTCCTCTGAAGTAATATTTTTTACCGTTTTAGAAGTTGAGATCTTCAAGGTTTATCTCCGCTTGTTATGGGGTGTTGATTGTACAAACGAAAAGATGACTTTTCAAAGCCAAGGCTTGAGAATTTTTCTGGAATCTAAACAGTCTTCGATGAGACCACAACGACCTCGCGTTTTGCGCGGCTTGCGACTATCCATGCAGCCTTTAGTTTACGTGGTGCAGACTTTCACTTACTTGCTCGAACATAAAAATTCATTACCTTTATGTACTGACCAGCTTCGACTGACCTGAATTAGAACTCTTTACTCAAATGTTTAGAGATCCTGCAAACAGCCTATTAAATGCCAGAACTTTCTTGACAGTCAGGGTGTGTAATTATTCAGCTCTGCAAACACTGAATGGGACTGCGAACGGACTTTAATTGATAATCGTGAAGAATTAACATCGCGATAGGGGGCTAAACGAAAGTAGTGGAAACTTAGAAACTATCCCCAATGCAGATGAGTGTCTTTATGAAAGGTTTAAAAGAATTTCACCAAAATTATTTGACAGCTTTGCCCACTCGGTTCCAGCCGCTAATACGCAGTCACTGATAAATAATTGTGAATCTCTCTTAGAGTCCAAAGCATTTTATAAATGAAGCTATATAATTTCTTACTTCTTTTATGCAGTTATAAACATTATGACTGCCAAACCCAGCAGTAAATACCGACCGAAAAAAACAGATGCTGATCTGTTATAAAGAGTTCGCCTCTCGATAGAGAAGATCAGCATTGAAGTGATCGATTTTTCAGTATTTGCAGTAACAGAACGAATTCCTCCAATTCAAACATGCTATTAGTGATAGCGGTTAACCACGAATATTGAAAGGAACGGCAAAACAAATTATTACAAATATCGGCTGTATTTTAAAACGTTCTTATCATAACTGATCTACAAGACTATTCCGTTATCTGAGGGATTGAAAGTTATCGAGAACATACCGGTGAGTTGTTGAATCAGTTTGAAATTTACAGTACCTAAATTTTTGCTCTAGTTAGATTCTTCGCGGAAGTCCTTCTTGCGGTTAAAATCGGTTCCAGAGAATGTCTATTTACTAACATACAGACTCAAGTACACTAGAACGATACGTTACGTATCAGTACATTATATGCAGTAGTATGTGTATTGACTGCTCATGGATAATCTAGTTGAAGAAGCACTAACATTTGTCAGTACAAACTGATTAGGAAGATCCAAGCTCATCATTTTAGTTTAGGGAGAACACTTTGTACATGAAACTGATTCGTGAAAACCACAGAAAGATAAAATTGAGTTACTTTGGTGTTAAAGTAATTTTGTTTTACGGATTTAGAGGAAACATTAATTTGAAGGCATTAATCTACCGTAGTGACAAATTTAAGGTAAACGTTTCTATTAGAAATCAATCTCACTTCCTTATAAATATTACTCAGTTACTTACTGTGCACACTTACTTTTAGTTAGTAGACTAGTCCCATGTATATATGATGTGTTAGCATAGCATTCTGACAAATTCACACAAAAAATTAACGTTTCATCGCTCACACCTCCACGAATTTACTTGCCAGTTGTCAGTGCTATGTTGGCAAAGCTGATGAACGCTGAAAGTCATTTTAAGTGCATGCCAAACAAAGTGTTAAGTGCTTCAATTGAAGTCATAACACTTAACGAGGGGTTGATCTTTGTGAACACCAATAATAAGATAGTCTCATTACCTTGTTCGCAACTCGGGAGTAAATGAGAGGCTCCCTCCATGGATTGTCGAGGGTGTTCTGAGAAGTCTATGGCGCTGGCGTGTTGCGGTCGTTGTGGAAGATGATGCAGCGGAATGACTGCCTCGTCTCGTGGTCCTATCTCCATATACCTTGGGTCTTCATAATGCGTCAACGGCTGAGGCATTCGACCATAAGAAGGCGAGGTATTTTGCACTGGATAAGCACCAGTACTGGGATATGAGCTGCATGTATAACGGGAAGGGGCATTATAAACATAAGGCGGGTGAGATAGAGGTGGAGGACAGTGCGACTCGTGTGCAGGCACAGGATAAGGTGGCCTGTTATAGTTAAAGCCACGTGGGTACATGATTTCCAATAACGTTTTCAGCTTTCCCTTTCTCCTTTGTAGCAGACTGTTTGACCAGCACGGTTTGCATGAATCCCAGGGAAGCATTTATCGCGCAGTCGCTAGCTGATTTGAAAACGATACCAGGCCGCCGCGCTTAAAGTGTAATCGATCCCAGTTTATTGTCTGTCGGTACGATACAGGCAGAACTTTATCCTCTAGCATTCCTTTACCCAATAAGTCTTTGAAAGCGTTGCTCCAAAGCGTTAACCTCAAAGGTAGCGATGGTCGTCATCTTTGAATTTTTTCACCGCAAAGGCGAAATTTCTTGACTATTACAGTCGGCTTGTCGAAATCTCTGCAGCGACAATCAAAACAAACACTCCACCTAATCTGATAATATTTCTCTCCACGGTAGTTTCTTTTCATGTGCCGCACTCTCTCAGCTGTTTAACGCATTAACGTTGGCATAATTTTTTTTTCTTGCCCCGCGTTCTCATCTCTAAATTATTCATTTACTTGCTGTTAATGTGTTTTTTATTCTTAACTGTTAGTTTGTTGATGAATAATAGTCTGTAATGATTCAACATTGTTTGTTTCGCGCACGCAGGTGTAAATTGCCACGGCGAAGATACGTTTGATGGTTTACACCCTTGACGCGGCGTTTTTTTTGCCTTTTCTTGGTGACATCTGAGCTAGAAACGCCCACGTGATCTCGCCGAGCACGAACATAAAATCCGTTGTGTCTTGTAAACTTGACCAGAGAACTTCTGCCTGCTAAATTAGATCTTACCATAACGATCAGCTTTTATCCAATGTCTTCACTGTTTAACCGCTTATACGACAAAGTTGTGATGTCATATTAATTGCGCAATTACGCTCTCGCTAGGGAAAAATGTTATTTCAGAAGCACGCTTACCATATTCAAAAATAGGTCCAAATGTCATGCAAAGCATGACAAAAAAGGCACATTGAATTTCCAGGTGGGCGAAAAACTTATGTCACGGGAATAGGCAGCAGGTATTAACTCCCAAATCATGGACGCCAAGATTTCAGTCGGGGAACAATGCACAACTTTATTTGAATTCCTGTAAGTACGATTTTTCGATTGTTAACAATTGGTCTCTAAGTGCTGCTTCCTTTGTAAAATGGCCTTGTTGATAACAGGTCATAAGAACAATAGGTTTATTATGTGGATTATAAACAAGGAAAATCTCTGAGCGACTGATAGAGCACCAAAAGTATCGAAAACTTAGAACCAGTGAAAAATCTTATAACACTCCAGGCCACCCCAAGGAAAAAGCAAAATCAATTTTGGGTGGAAAACTCGTAAAAACTTGACAGACCTGATGTCTAATTATTTTACAACTCTCTAGGCTTTAATTAAAAGCGAATGGCGTACGTTAAGTTCCTTTGATCTTAGCTAGATTGCATTTCATCGGCTCTTCATAAAATGATAGCCATCTTAAGCCAGATTTTCAACAAGCCGCAGTGTAAGTGTAAGTTCATGGATATGATATGGATGCGACTGGGCCGCCTTTCCCGTCGCAGCATTTTAAGACATTCCCACGGCTTTAATGTCTTCCTTATGCGTAAAATATTTCATTGTTTTTCAAGTGTTGGGGCTTAAAAAGGGAGTTTTTTTTCAAGTGATTCTATCAAATGTTTCATGATAAATAACTTCACTTTATATAGTGCCGAGGTTATTTTCAAAACAAGGGAGGTTGAGTAACACAAATATTTTGTTTGGGGCTCTTTATCTCGCACATTCTGTTTACAGACAAAACTAATAAGCTACGTTTTTCTATAGTCTTAAAGAATCAAATAGAAAATATCCACTCAACTGAACAATAATGGGTATTCTGTTCAGAATAGATGTTTATATGCCCTACGTTATGCAAAATACTTCGCAAAAATACGTCTGTTGTCTTCAAAACGTGAAGATAAGAGGTTAATTATTATTGCTTCCCCTCGGTATTCAACAAAGAAAGACTAAAAATTCATAAAAAAATATTTGTATGAGTACATTACGCAAACAAATTACCCAGTGTAACCCACAAATATCATTTTTAACACCTCTTAGTAAATATAACTATCACAGACCAAGTTACTGAACCTAACCGCTTAACTTTCATCCTAGCTCTCACGACGCTTCCGTGCCATTTCATCGGATCAGTCTTAAAAGTCTGTGTGGTCTTGCATTTAGCTCATGCCTAAGAGATCTCTCTGCATTACACCGAAGCGACTCTACCAATGTATTCTTGGAAACGGCATACCATGCTTGGTGGGATGATAGCAAGGCAGTTAGAAATCTAAGGTATTTTCGCTGTTTTGATCCCGATAATGGCTCGGCATAGCTGATGTAAGTTTTTGTCTGTAAGCAACGAGTTTATACTAACTTTATAATCAAAATAGTCTGTTGTAAATCGAGCGCAAAGACGGAAGACCTTCCGGAATTTTTTCAAAGATATTTTTTTGATATGTGCCATTTATATCTATCCTACCAGTAAGAGGAAATGATCACAGAATAATTTAGAGCGTGGACAGCTAGCCTCTCGGATTATCACTCAGTTCACGGTTGAGGGAAGAAAGGGAATCATTGAAAAACGTACTGAGTCATTCTGCAAATAAAATATTTTAATTTAACCAAGTGTTAGCCACCAAGCTGTGGATGAGATGACTGAGGTGCAGTCGCCGACGGATAAAATGATGGCGGTGACTGCACAAGGTTGCTCTCGACCTGTGTTTGTTGAGTGTTCCTATACGTACATTAGCTCCAACATGCACTGTATAGTTTGACAATTCTAAAGAAAGCTTTTGAGCTTTTTACTGTGCCTTAACTCTCAAGTTCCTGTATCTCTCAGGGACTTTCACATACTTGTAACAGATTGCGGACCTCTTTAATTCTTGAATGAGTGACTTTTGTTTCGCTACGGTTGCACGAATAGTCTGGTAAACCACTTCCACAAGCACATTTCTTGTCTCTGTTCCTGTCACACGTAGTTCTTTACCAGTGAGGTTAACAAAACAACAACAACAACAACATAAGCTTTATTTGCATGACTATAATTATGTAGTTACAGTATTGCAAAAGCTTTAATATAAAAAAAACAAACAAACAAACAAATCATAACAATGATAATGCAATGATGACTGTAGTCAATCAAGTGTAGTAGAGGGCAATCTTTTATTATAAAGAGGACTCGTGATCTTAGGGTACATATTTGGTCTCTCATTTACCACTCATAATACTTGAAAACAAAATGCATGTGGGACTTTAAAAAACTGTTTAATAAACAATCATGGTTTTTGGAGATAACCTTCACGCCATTTCCAAGGAACAGATTTTATTGAAAGAAAAATAGTTTCATCGCAGGCTGCGTATGCGATCGGTACTGCTCAGCATCTATGTTTTCTTTCCCATGCATTAGAAAAATTATTACTTAAATGATGTCTTTGGCCCGCGGTTCTGTTGATGGACAAAAATGAAATTTATTTCTGAAAGAAATAAATGGTTTTATGCTTATGTGACTGATTAATGTGTCATTTCTCCAGCAGCTATTATATTATTATAGCGCCCCTGTAGTAACCTGTATTTGATAAAGCCAGGAGTTCTCCTCTAGAAACCTGGCATGCTCCGGCTTTATACTTATGAGAACCCCTAATCTATAACCCAAAAACCAAAAGGAAACTAAAAACCAGTTTATCCGCCCAGAACTGAATGAAGATTAAATACCCTTATACACAGTACTATGGGAAAGTAACTTTCGGTAGTTTTCGATTCAGTTACTGCTTGCAAAATATCATCTCGACAATTTAAAATCACCTACATAACAGAGAGTCAACATCACAAGAAACTTAAAACATTAAATTCAGTGTAATATCAGCAGAGTCCATTTTCTGGCCTGACGAACGCTAAACACGTTATGTTTAATGTTTTGATTTGTGTATTTTCCTAAGACACACCCTCAACTGTCCCTGCTGAAATTAAAAAGGAAGATTTAAAAGCACGCAGAACATTTTGGATGGGATCACATGACGTTGCTCTGGTCGATCGGCTGTGCGCAAGGACAACGGAAACAAACTCTGTCATACAGTCCCGCGGGGTACGGGGGTAGGGATACGGGGAGGCTCCGCCCCGAGGGCCGATCCCTTACTTTTTCATTCACCATTTTTGACGGAAAAGGAATCCCTTTCGCTCCTGCATCAAAATGTAGAGACTTCTAAGAACGAGTCGGCAAGTTATATAAACTAGAAATAGGTTTCATTACAACTGCCCCCGCCTTTGATTACATGCTTGTGAAGATTTCTATTGTACTAAAATACTGAATATAATGTTGAATGGTATAAATTTGACTGTTTTTCTTACCCTTTTTTTTCCCTTACATATATACACACGGGAAATTCTACGGATCCCTCCTCCGGGCAATAAAAAATGAACTTTATTTGAGTGTACTAATTGAGAACACTATTTTTACCTCTCGTACTGGAGATGGGACCTCCACTTTACGTGATCATCCGAGCCAAGTGATGGTCTAGCCTCTTGCAGGGCAAAGCGTTTACATCAAATTGTACAACGCAGGGGCGGATCCAGGATTTTTTTTGGGAGGGGGTGCACTCGTCTCTTGCTCTACTACTTCAACACCAATAAACCACATAGTTTATTTTTTTTTGCAGAATACCAGTTGTATTAGAAAACCGCAGGAAGGGGGGGGGGGGTGCGCACCCCCTGCACCCTCCCCCTAGATCCGCCCCTGCAACGTGACCAAGTTTCCCCATTACTTGTCGTTAACTGTTCATTATAATTAGTTGTTGCGCGTAATTTTTTATCCATAAGAATAATAAATTGTCTTGAGCTGTTTTATCTGCTCATTCTTCTTTTTGAGAAATTTTCAACTTTAATCTGAAGTTTGCCATTTGCTGTTTACGTGAAGCTTAAACTCCCTTCATTTCTCAGTTATTTCGAGACCCTGAGTATTGGTCCAATATTTTGGTTTCGCATCGTTTTCGTCGCTTGTGGCTGCTTCCGAAAATCTGTCGGCCTCGGGCAGACACCGAAGCATCCCTCTGCATGACTAAAAAAACCTGGTGCCCTGGGTACATAAAAAGGAAATCAGTCGGGGAAACTTCAAGTCGCTTTCGTCTTTGTTATTTTGTTGTTAATGTCAAGAGATCATAACAGTCCTATTATTATCTCAGCGAAAGATGTTTTTGAACAAAAAGACTCAAGATGAGTCGCCGCCAGAAAACTTTTTAGCTTAAGAGAACTGGGTACGAGATAAGCCCTGAGGTCACTAGGATTTAATGGAGCCGAAGCCAGTTGTGGAATTGCACACATTACAGGCATCCTACTGACGAACAGTTACGACTTTTAGATGGTTCTCAGGAATTTCGAGCAACCGTTTGCAGCATTTGCCCTCTGTCCTCTTTGAATTGATTCATTTCATGATATTTACATCACGTACATCGTTATTCATGGGACTACCGCATAAACGCTTCTCCGTTGTCAATAGCAACAAGCAGGAGAAAACATGGCGGACGAAGACGGAGCTTACTTTTTGGAACGTATCCTTTCATTCTTTAAGTTCTTGGACTTTTCTTCTTCGCTAAATATAAAGAAAACAACTTTTTAGATAAAATGTAACATGTTGCTCGTACAGAGGGGTGATCTAAAATGTCTAATTTAAATTATAAACATATTTAGCTGACCTAATTCACGCGGGAATTCTGGTGGTTAGCTTGTATTTCAAGTGCACATATAAACATTAAGGTTTTAGGTGATTATGATCAATAAAAATGCATTACAGTAGGGAGAAAAATATCATAATGAAGCAAATATCAAGTGATAGAAATCTAAAACCGGAGTTTTCGGTAGGTTACGAGTTCATGTGGGATGAAGGTATCGATGAGCTTTAAAATACAGCTAGTCTGATAAGGGCTTTGCCTGACATTTCAATGTCACATGGTAGCCTGTCAACCCTGTATAATGAATTAGAGCGCATGCGAAGAATATGAGGGTGATTATACCGAGAAACGTGCTTCTTTTACACCAAATGAGCTTGCTGACAAAGAACATGCATGAGAGAATCACGAAAGACTTTTCACTGATCTTTAACGAATTTAGAGTCGCTCCTTCGTAATTTATGTGCAATATATACAAGGATTTTGTCAAATACAATTGTGGTGATAATGTTTGGTAACTATCTTAGTTGAATACCTTCTTCAAATAAGTATTGACCATTTATGGCTGCCATTCAGGTGGGGAACTAAACACTGGCCCCCAGTTCATGGACTTCAATACCCCTATGGACTACCCTAGAATGGACTAAGGCCACTGAAATTTAGTGATTAGGGTTAGAAGATTCAGTGATTCCATTTCAGGTCATCATACTAGGAAAACTGGCCTGAAACTTGATTGACTCAGTGTCCCAACCCTAATCACTAAACGTCAGTAGTATAGTCCACTTTGGCTTGGGGTAGTTCATTATGGGTAGTCCAGTTGGGGATAGTCCATGGACTAGGGCTCAGTGTTTTGTCCTCCACCTGCTGAACATGATTTTCTTGAGGATCGAACATGTATGGCAGCTGAACATGTACATATCATGCGCTTTTTCCTGGAGTTATTTGTTTTCTTTAACTGCTTTTCACTGACACTAGAGGTGACAGTTCCCGATGACAGCGACGATGAGTTTGCCTATGAAGAGGTTAGATTTTTCCTATTTGGGTATACTTTTTGACACATTAAGCATTCAAGTAGTGAGTA